TATCCACGAATCAAGCTATTTTGAGATGTCTTCATATGAGCGGAACTGCTGATTAGCCAGACCATGTGCCATCGAACGGAACAAGTAATAATCGGACGGCGCAATATCTGGGGAATATGGCGGGTGGGGTAGGACTTCCCATTTGAGCGTTTCTAAGTAGGTTAACGGGTTTTAACGGGTTTGGCAACGTGAAGCCGAGCGTTGTCATGCTGTAGAATCACTTTTTCGTGCCTCTGCTCGTATTGTGGCCGCTTTTCGCGCAGTGCTCGGCTCAATCGCATCAATTGAGTTCGATACCGTTCGCCAGCGATAGTTTCGTTCGGTTCAACGGCTCATAATAAATAACACCGCCCTGGTCCCACCAAATACACAGCAAAACCTTTGCAGCGTGAATATTCGGCCGAGCCGACGACGTAGAAGCATGACCGGGCAGTCCCCATGATTTTGTTCTCTTTGGGTTGCTGTAATGAATATATTTTTCATCACCCGTAACGATGCGATGAAGAAAACCCTTCCTTTTTTGCCGCTGGAGCAGTTGTTCACAGGTGAAAAAACGACGCTCAACGTCTCTTGGCTTCAAATCATAAGGAACCCAAGTTCCTTGTTTTTGAATCATTCCCAACGCATGCAATCGCTTGGAAATGGCTTGGCGGGTAACTCCTAATGCTGAAGCAAGCTCTTTTTGCGTTTGGCACGGATCCTCATCGAGCAATGCCTCCAATTCAGCGTCTTCGAAGGTTTTTGGCCTTCCTTCACGCGAACGGTCGTCAACATCGAAATCACCGTCTTTGAAGCGACGGAACCAATCACGGCACGTTGTTTCACTTAGAGCAGCATCTCCGTAAACTTTTTGGAGTTCTCGATGCGCTTCAGCCGCCGTTTTCTTCGAATGAAAGAAGAAAAGCAACACTTCCCGCAAATGATGATTATTTGGCACAAAATAAGACATTTTCACACAACCAAAAGTATATGACGCAAAAACAAAATCACTAATGTATCAAAGCGGTTTGTTTACCATATGTCTAAGCTTGGTTCATGACGTTTTGGTTATATCACAATCGAGCAGCACTTACTACTGGAGCCATCTCTTGAAAAACAGCGGGAACTTAGTTGCGCACCTAATATATATTCTATTAAAATAAAGATTTTGCAAAATAAAGAAAAAGAAGAAATACGTTCTTTTACAAATATATATATTTCTATCTTTGAATATGACCCCCCTGAATCACAATAAAATCTTAGCAAATTATATCGCTAGAAACAGCTCTTTTACTCACAAGCGTTCGCTCGTTGAGTACGAGCTCATTGAACGATTATTAGCTCACAGTTTCAAGCTGGAAAGTTAATATCACTAGCGGCACTAAAATAAGTTATTCCCGCGGCCGCGAGCGCCACGTGAAAAAGTTTATTCGACGTGGCGCTTCCGCGAATATGAGCTAGCGGGACCGCGCGGCCGCTGCGGAAGGGCCTCCGGCGCGAGTTATAAGTTCATCGCCGTTTCTCCTTTTCTTCAGCATTTATGTAGCTTCACTAGGTAACCGAATCAGTCATTTGGCAAAATGGACGCGCGCTAGAAACATCCTTGGACATCGATCGTTTGCGGCCCTACGGGTTGTGGGAAAACGGTTTTCGTAAAGACTTTTCTTCGCTATTTACCCGCGATGGCGGATACACGTTTCGACAGAATCCTATTTTATTATACCGAGTGGCAAGAGGCTTACCGCCACCTACAGGATGAAGCGGCGAAATCGGGACGATGCGTGAGAGAATTTCGAGAAGGCTTACCGCGCCCGGATGATTATTCAAACGATCCGCTTGTCGCGAAAATGGTAATAATAGACGATTTCATGAGGGGATCGTCATCGTGCGAAATAATCGTCGATTTATCCACGAAGGGTAGTCATCACAAAAACCTCAGTGTTATACTCATTTCGCAAAATCTATTTCATCAAGGACGCGGACAACGAGATATTTCTCTCAACGCGAATTACATCGTGTTGTTCAAAAACCCTCGCGATCGTGCCCAGATTCGTCACTTGGTCAGGCAGGTATGTCCGGAAGATTCAAAGTTTTTGGAAGAAGCTTACTATGACGCTACATCGTTTCCACATGGGTATTTATTGCTCGATCTGAAACAATCTACTCCAGATGAGTATCGGTTTCGTACATGCATCTTCCCCACTGATACTACGCATTATGTTTACATTCGGCGTGGATCCACCAGAAGTTACATATAAAACTCATGCATACAATCATTCTGCGACAGTCTTATCACCGTAATGGCAGTGAATGGGGGGAGCAGAGCGAATGCGAAAAAGGGCGATAGAACCGCAAACGCAGCAAAACGGTCCATCGATGAGAAAAATATCTCTCTTCTGAAGGCGTTGTGCTACTTGACAGAAAAACAATGTTTCTGCGAGAAGCTGAGCGTGATTCCATCAGATATATTTGCGAGTGCGCCTTCAACACGCTCAAAGGTAATGTACCGCTCGACAGAAGAGAAAAAAATCGCCTTACAATCGCGTTACAAATCAACGTTGCGTCATATCGCTAATGATCGCGGTGATTGGAGAAGCAAACGGAGAGCGATAGTGCAGCGAGGCGGATTTCTACCTTATCTGATCGTCCCTATACTCGGGGCTATATTATCCAAAATTATCGGTAACTGAGACTGTTCACGCTTGAACCATGGAAAGAGCCAAGAAGATGGTACTGATTTCTATGGATAATCTCGAGAGATTGCAGCAACAGGCTCATACATCATCGCCTTCAGCGTCGTCGTTGTCGTCTTCCTCGACTGCGATCCCCTCTGTTTTGACAGATAATGCCGCAACTGGGCTGAATATAGCACCAGTAGAGAATGAAAATACGGTGCGTACTCCGAGTTCCGTCCTGTCGCGTCTCGACGCCGAGATGCATAGAATTCTCAACTCTCCGGTCCTCGGAGGAGCACGGGAAAAATGGAAATTGTATAGAGAAGTACTTCAGTGATATTTGTACTTCAGCGATATTTGTACTTTTTTCGAGAGCGGGAAAAACATCGATTACGCGGAAAAAAGGAAGAGAAGCCTGTTGTTGGTGAGGTCGACGGTGATGAAAACGGTGTGGAAGGGGAAAAAGCCCTCACGAAGATGACGATTACGTTGACGGAAACGCGGTAGAAGAAAACGCTGGTATGGCTGTAAATGAAGATATTCCTAACCTAGAGACTGACGTACATCGAACGTTGAACGTTTCTCAACACGTACGAGATGAAAGACGCAGTCGTCATCATCGCACCAGCGAACAGAAAAGCATCGGAAGAATACTGAATAAAGTGCCAAAGAGTTACCGGGTTAAAGCGCGTAAGCTGCTGACTCATTTGTGTGATGTAGCGATACCCGGTCGATTAAGTTGGGACAGACAGGGAGTCGTAACTATAGATAATAGAATTCTGAGAGGATCGAATATCGTCGATCTCTTAAACGACGCGGCTCGCGAACGAAAAACTAGCAGAGCAGTAGCGAGAGTACAGTTTGCACGACTTTTGCGTGAAGTGAATACTCCTCCGGAATTGGTAGGAAGTTGGGAATTACTGGAGGAACACACGGAAGAAAATGATCTTTCCGCGAGATTGAGAGAAACTCTTCCGAGAGGTAGCAGTACCCCGCTCTCGTCACCTAACGATCAACTTTAATCTAAACGTAAGATTACCCAAACGTTACTTGAAGAAAAGGATAACGAGGATGGATGGGCGCTGTTTGTAACAACCAATGAGAATAGTAATAAAACACGTATGAGCGATGACGTTTCTAAACCAACGAATAAAAGATGCATGATAGATTGGAACCCGTTAGAATTGAGTATAGCTTCTTCAACGGCTAGCAGCTATGCACATCGACTTCCACTAGCGAAGGGGCGAACGTGCAAGCGTGCTATCGGGGAGACGTCTCTCGCGGGAGAAGAACGCGACGGTGGGCGTGTACACGCAACATTTATAACTTCTGATCAATATAGGCGTAAAACGCGAGTGAACGACAACGCATCTAAATCAGCGAGTAAAAGACGTTTGATCAATTGGAACACGCTGGAATGACCGACCTCGCAAAATTCTACTACGATCCTGCATACTATGCAGGACTCTGCTATACTATGCATACTCTGCGATAAAAAATCTTTCGCGAGCAGCAGGACCCGGCTCCGCACGTGAAGAAATTATTCGTTGGCTTCAGTCACAGGATGCATACACACTTCATCGGCCGATACGACATAAATTTCCATGTTTGCATTACAACGTCACGAATATCGACGATCTGTGGGAGGTCGATTTGATCAAACTCGCTAATCTCCAAAATTACAACGAAGGCTATTGTTACTTGTTAACAATCATCGATGTGTTTAGCAAATTTGTCTAGGTGGAACCAATACGAAGCAAGTCTTCGACCAGCGTGACGGAGGCTTTTCGTCACGTACTCTCAAGAAACGGAGGGCGAGTACCGGCGTGGTTGCAGAGTGACAAGGGTAAAGAATTCATCGGTCAAGCATTTCAAAATTTTCTGAAGGAAAAGAACATATGTTTTCGCACGGTGCGAAATCTTGATGTCAAAGCAACGGTGGTCGAACGCTTCAACAGAACGCTCAAAGAACGCTTATAGCGCTATTTTACACACAAAAATACACATCGTTACATAGATGTTTTGCAAGGCATCGTGCACGCTTACAACCACATTCGACATTCCACCATTAAAATGGAACCGGCAAGCGTCACATTGGACAACGCACGCCTTGCTCGTGAACATATGCAGCAGCGATACCACTATCTCGATGAACTCGATCGAAGAAATCATAGTCGAGGAGCTAAATACAAAGTGGGTACATTAGTGCGAGTCAGTAGAGCAAAAGGAGTCTTTGAGAAAGGATATGAGGCGAACTGGACGGAAGAAATATTAGGTTGCAGATGAAATGGCCATTTTTTAATTTTTAATTTAAATTTTTATTCGATACACTTTATATACATCTCGTCAATCGAAATAGTCTCCCTCCACCTCAATACACTTCCCCCAACGTGATACAAGCGCATCAATACCTTTCACGTAGAAATTAGAAGAGCGAGATGCAAGAAATTCGTTGAACGCATTTTTCACGTCGCTTTCTGTTTGGAATACCTTTTCACTTAAAAAGTTATCCAGATGCTTAAACAAATGGTAATCAGTTGGAGAAAGGTCAGGAGAATAAGGAGGGTGAGAGAGAACTTCGCATTTGTATTCTGTTAATGTTTTTACAGTTTTTTTTGCAATATGCGATCTAGGATTATCATGGAGCAATAACATACCGCGTCTATTTAATAATGCCGGCTGTTCAATACGCAGTTTTTCCATCACAATGTCAATTTCTTGGCAATATTTGTCAGTATTTATAGTTTCACCCTTTTTAAAAAACGAAAAATGCACAATACTCTTGGCAGACCACCATACAGATACCATAACTTTACGTGGGTGAAGGCTCGGTTTCGGCATGTGTTTCGGAGCTTGATCAGCATCTAACCACTGGGCAGAACGTCGACGATTGTCATAAAGAACCCACTTTTCATCACACGTTACTATTCGATTCAATATTCCTTCATTATTGTGTCGGGAAAGCAAAGATGAGTTGATTTCCATACGGCGAAGCTTGTGTCTCTCAGTCAGTTCATGTGGTACCCATTTGTCAAACTTTTTCACTTTCCCCATGGCCTTTAAATGTCGGGAAACAGTGGAATAGTGAACGTTGATGCTGTGTGCAATATCTCGAACTGATAAACGCGAGTCTGCTTCAACTACGTCTTTCAAAACATTGTCATCAATCACTGATGGTGCATGGCCGCGAGGCAAATTGTCGAGATTTGTATCACCAGACCGAAACTTTTCAAACCAACGTCTAATGGTTCGATCACTTACAGAACCTTCCCCAAAAGCAGTGTTTATGTTTCGCGTTGCCTCGGCCGCACTATGATCAAGTTTGTATTCGTACAAGAATATTATCCTCATTTCCTTACTTTCTATGTCGAAGAGATAGCGATTTTCAACGATATAAACAATGTGATAAAAGTAAGGTTATGCGTGCGAATTTACGTGTGGGGCGTATACTTTTCAAATATCACGCATGTAACGACAGCTGCATGAAAAGAGCTTAACTACTCGGCCGGGAAATTTGAATTTTGAAAAACGGCCATTTCATCTGCAACAACCTAATATTTCGGATTCACCATATTCTCGAATGGCGAAATCCTCATGTGTACGAATTGAGTGATCTGTCAGGTGAAGTGATCGACGGAATTCTACGAACCCCGTTATTCTACGAATAAAAACTGGTCAGAGTAAATAAAAACTTACAAGAAGAAGAGTTTATTGTGGATAAAGTGATACGAGCAGAGGACGAGGAGCTAATAAAGAATTATTCGTCAGCTGGCGAGGTTACCCCTCTAAATTCAATTCCTGGATATCTGCTTCGAACCTAAAGCTGCTTCCAAACCATGATGGAGGAAGACCGGTTTCTTATGATTCTACCGAGTAATAGTAGCATGCGACACTATTCAGAAAATACAACTACTTCATTTATTACGGAATTGCCTCCAGAAATGAAGCTGACTGGTTTATGGGAAATTGCGCTTACCGAAATTCAATTGCCCTTTAGCTTTTTACACGTGCGTCTCGAAGAAGATACAGAACTCAAATTCATTTCGTTACCACGTGAAAATATTAATACCAAAAGTGTCAAAAAAGATGAAGACCAGCTACCCAAATTCGGACTTACCCGCATAACCCCGGGTGTTTACGCTACGATGAGCGAACTGTTACAGGCTTTAAATAACGCTAGCTCATTGTTCAAAACACACATTGCTTGGCGCCAGGATCCTCATAATGGTGGTAAAGTAATGCTGTATTGCACGTGCGATATTAAAGTTCGTGAAGTTTTCCGACAAAGTGGCTCGTATGCTTGGCTTCGATACATATAGGCCGAACGAAGAATTAATTCATCTTAACTTGTCGAAAATTATGCAGGGACGTGTAGCGTACTATTCCAATACTGATTGTAATGTGAATCCTCAGAAAGCTGGAGAAGAAAAGTTTTACGCTTTCACCACGACAAAATGTAAACTTATGTCCGACGAACCAGGTAATATGGTGCGGGGTGTACCTGATAAACTCTTTGTTTATTGCGATATTTGCGAATCCTATATAACGGGAGACGTGCATTCTCCTCTTCTCCGAGTGGTTCCCGTCGACTACAACGATGGTAAATATGCCTACGGACGTAACATGGTGAAACATTTTTCGCCACCGAATTATATTCCATTGCGATTAACATGTTTCCGCACGATCGAAATAGATATAAGAGATCAGGTTGGCGAAAGAATACCATTTGAATTTGGGACGTTGACAGTTACATTACAATTTAGACGTCGAAATTAGAGATAATTATCCCGTAATTAGAACATATAGATATGACGCATTATTTAGAATATTACGAAGCACAATCCGAGGGAAATCGTGGCGGCGGAATTCCACGAGTTTTCGTAGGATCGCGGTATCAGAGCGGTCACGGTATCGGTAGTTTTCTCGGTGGTCTGTTTAGACGGGTGTTACCTTATTTGGCCAGTGGTGCGCGTGTCGTTGGAAAAGAAGCTCTACGCGCAGGGATTAATATACTCAATGATGTAGGGAATATCACACCATTGGAAGTAGCTGTTAAAACTTCAAGGAATCAGGCTCAAATCTCAAAAGAAAAGCGGGAAAACACATTAACAATATGATGAAGGGGTCGGGATATAAAGTTCCTGCGAAAATCGGAAAAGCTCAGTTTCCTTTCAACACGCCAAGTGGATACAGCGATAAACCATCTTCGCGTAAACATCGGGTCAGCGCTTCTAAATCAAGTAAGAGGAAAGTGACTCGAAGAAACGCACCGGGGAAGAAATCGGGTAAGAAGCTAGCAATGGAACCCACGAAGAAGAAGCGTTCAATGAAGAAAAGCGGGAGAGAACTCACTAAACGTCGGGGAGTTATCAATAAGCGTACTGTATCAGACATTTTTTCTTAAACAACAAACGCGTGCTTTCGAAGCATGTTCTTTCTTCATACGCATTCCTGCGAATGTTTAAAGAGCGATCTCTTCACCCTGCCGTCTACACAAACCAGTATTGAGAGTTCACAATGGATTCACTACAAACCCGTGTTTTCTCTCACGGATGACACGCCCGTCGAATTCGTCGTATTCGGGCATGGAGAAGAATACATAGATATTGCTCACACCATGCTGTCGCTACGCATACGAATAGAAACGGAAACCGGAGCAGGAGCTGCCGCCGCAAAAATAGGCTCAGTAAACCATATATTGCATTCGATGTTCAATCAAATCGACGTATATTTCAATCAAAAGCTCGTGTCTCCTCCAAACACTTACGCTTACCGCGCTTACATAGAGGCGTTATTAAATTATGCTTCACCAGTAAAAACCTCCCACCTGGCTTCGTGCCTGTGGTACAGCGATACTGCAGGGAACATGGACGCTCTACTTGGAGCGACACCAAGCAATCATGGACTCGACAAGCGAGCCACTTTTGTACAAGGAGGGCGAACACTGGATCTCATAGGTCATCTTCACTGCGACGTCTTCGATCAAGATAAATTCTTGATCAACGGTGTCGAAGTGCACATGAGGCTTGTTCGTTCGAAAGATTCCTTCTGTCTTATGGAGGGAAATACTATGTCACGGATACGCATTTTAGATGCTACACTACTCATCAGAAGAACTAGAATAAATCCAGGCATATTACTCGTTCATACGAAAATGTTGACCAGGACTATTGCTAAATACCTCCTCACGAGAGTCGAGGTTAAATCATTCATGATTCATAGCGGCGTCGTAGGAGAGATACTGGACAACGTCATTCTTGGACAAATACCAAAGCGCATAATTGTCAGCTTTGTCGATAAGAAAGCGTTTAACGGTACCCGGCTTTTAAATCCATTCAATTTCCAGCATTGTGGAATAAATTTCTTTTCGTTGTATGTCGATGGTACTCAAATCCCTAGCAGACCGTTACAACCCAAATTCTCTGATAACGAAGTGCTCTACACCGAGGCGCATCACACCCTTTTCTCAAGAACGGGTATTCACTTTTTGAACGAAACTAATTCTATATCCAGAGAAGATTATCCTGCTGGTTATACTCTTTTCGCTTTTGATCTCACTCCTGATCTGTCAGCTAATTGCGCGGGCCAATGGAACCTTGTGAAACACGGTAGTTTACGAATGGAAGTACGATTCGAAAGAGCCCTCACAACAACGGTCAATTGCTTAGTTTACGCTGAATTTCAAAGTGTGCTGGAAATAGATTCTTCTCGTCAAGTCGTTGTAGATTATAGCGGTTAAAGAAACACATCTTCCACTTTTCTTTTTGATGTATTTCCCCTTCCTGTGTAAAGATTTTCAACATCATTCTCCTCCAGAGTAAAAATTTTAAGAAAAGAACTCACTCAACTTCGAGGCGTAAAGAGTATAGTTTCGGCAAAGCAGAATTGCGAATACAGCGAGAACATGGATGTGATCATCGAAGTGCAGTGTTTCCGCGATAGCAACGATACTTATGTGCTAAGGAGGTGGCTATTGTCGGTATTAATGAGGCATTTGTCGGACATTGAATCTTAGCCCCATAGTATTCATTTGCGGAACTGAATGAAAAATCAAGACGGATAAATAACTGGCTTTCGCTGAATTATCATGGAATCGAGTGGTACGATGGGGAGACTAATCCAAAATATTCTTATCCGCGCTTGCGTGAAATTACGAGTCATATTCGTGACTTCATGACAAAAGGCAAGAAAAAAGCGAGCTGCTTGCAAAATTTGTTAGCGCGAAACGTGTATAATCTGGAGAATATCTCGCCGACGTCCAGTGATCTTTCACCCAGCGAACAAATAGAAGGCTGCTCATTCCACACATTTAGAAAACACAGACGTTATCATTGTGCATTACGCGATGCATACAAATTGAAACACTGGTTCATCGAACAGAGTCAAATCAACATCAGGAAACGCGACATATGGCCCGGTGCTTGTCCTCGAAAATTGACGGGGAAGACAGAGAAAATAGTTATTCCGACAAATCAGGGAGCGAACAGTCGCCGGTTGAAGAAGAGGAAAACGAGACAAATACTGAGTTGGAACATTCCGTCGAGCCGTCGAAGACTATAACAATCGCATTACCAAAGGTAAACGAAATTATATAAAATGAATTCGCTCGAAATTCAACATGCATTGCGACATCTCAATGCTAAATACACAGGCGTCTATCCAGTCGACAGACTACCGAGGGTGTGAACGAGGTCGACGGCAGTAGTCGCTAATACGGACAATCTTGATCGTCCGGGACAGCACTGGGTCGCATTCTACATGGATCGGAATGGAGCGCGCCACATATTTACTTCGACAGCTACGGGATGCCACCCTGGAACCCATGATTTCTCCTGCGTCTTAGAAGAAATTCCGTCACTTACCAATGGAGTAGCTTTCAGCTACAGGGACTCTTCTCGATGACTTGTGGTCATTATTGCTGTGTTTTCTTTACTTTATGTGTCGGGTTTATAACCTCGGGCAGTTTAACGGTTGTTTACCATGATTGTGAACGAAACGATCAGTTAATTGTACGAAGTATAAGAAATCTTTTATCAATGTAAGCGTAAATCGCTAGATCATCATATCCCTGTGTACCAGGTTCAATCCTGTATTAAGAAAAATGTATAAGAATAAAATGTGAATTAATTTTATGAAAATATTGTGCATTCCTTTCTCTTCACCTTTTTCTCTCTTCCCTGTGATTTCCAGTTCGAGGTAACAAATCTGTTTGTAACTTTTCGAGTTCGAAAGCGAGGGGACCCGTACAGGTAAAATATTCGGGTAGACATAGACCAGAGGTATCGTCTTCCAACAATCGCTGGGTAGTTTTTGTCTTCGAAATGATCCCTACCTGCTCGAACATGTTCCACACGCTCACGAGAGTCGAGAGCCGGAGTCATGGTGGGGGCTCGAATCCCGTAGGTTCTAGAATTTGCCAAATTTTTCACGCGTGACGTCGATACTCTTCGTATGTATACAATATAGCTAGTTTCCATCAGGGTATAGCAGTAGCGTAGTGCATAAGACGCTTGACTCGAAGCCAGCGGACTCTCAGGGTTCGAATCTGGCCAGGGCCTACAGGATTTTTCCACGCACACTAACCACACACAACACACATACACACATTTCTCTCTCGTTCTACGTGTACAACGTGAAAAAGTCTCTACCAGTTCTACCAAAAGAGGGCAGGGTATAAGACATTTGACTCAAGAGCCTGAGGTCCCGGGTTCGGCCTCGCAGGTGCCTAGGAGACTTTTTAAATGTAATATGTAAATTAACCAACTGATCAAGAGCTAGAATCACTAACAAATGCCTAATATGAATAATAAAAATTTAATATTTAGATTACGCTAATTTTATTCGGTGATTCAAATTTCCGCTAATTTTCAGCTTTAGGGGTAGGTCGGTGGGCGTGGTCTAGTAGCGTCGG